GGGGGGGTACTTGTGGTGCTATTGCATGAAGATTTACATATCTGGAGTCATGAGGAAAGAGCACACTAGCAGACAATGGATTAACTCAGGAGGGATGGCAAGGCAATATCGCTCTTTTCCTAGGGAAGAACTCGATTCACCTCGCGAAGGACACCTTGTCTCGGAACTGTCAAGGGCTGCCAGTTGCGTTTTTGTGCTAATATTTCAACCATACAAATTATCTGCAAAAGTTCATTTTCTTCTCATTCAATTTATAGTTATTCTGAATAAGATGTTTAGCAAAACCATTTCTGCAATTCAAAATACGTTTAATATTTTTTCAAAATCAACCTAAGAAATATAATATTTATTTTAACAATTAAACAATGAATTTATTCCGTAATTAAAAATTATCATTCGCTTTTAAATCATTGAAATCTAAGAAAAGCTGCACGCCTTTTCAGAGGAAGTGACAGAATTACATGTTACAAGATTCATCAACCATTAACTTGGGTGCAAATTTTACCTCGGCATTTGGGTCAATGTCTCATCTTGGTCACATTTGGCGTCCCTAATCCTTCGAGCGAATGCAGAGATGGAGCTTTGTTTTGCGTCTGGACATAAACGAAACTAACTACCAGTGCACGTCTTATAGAGTTCCGTGGGTAATAAAGCTATTCAAATTATCGTTTTCCAGGTTTTCAAGGTAGGAAGTCCTCCAAGATTCCTTCACAAAGCGCACAAAAAGGCTATAACAACTAAAATATATAGCTGATTTGGCTTTGCATATGCTTTTCATTATATTGGGGTGAATTTTTTGCATTAATTCTTGTTTAAGGTGATGATTTCATTTTCGTTTCAGAATTGAAATTAAACAAGTTCACTTATGGTTGGTAGGGATCCGGAAATTTCAGAAAACGTGTACAGAATACACACTTAAGTTACATTAAGTTTCGTTTATGTCCAGACACAAAGTTTTTAACAGTCTTTGACATTAAATATATTTATAAATAAAGTACATCAATAAAGCTCATGCATCAAACAACAGCAGATGCTTCCCAAAAAAGGAAACAATGAAATTACACTGTACTATTACAAATATATTTCTTGTTGAGTGTGTGAGGACAAGTAAATCGACCGCGACGAGGACCACGACTGCCACCAGGGCGACTACCGCCACCCCGACGACGACGACGACGACGACGACGACGACGACGACGACGACGACGACGACACGACGACGACGACGACGACGACGCGACGACGACGACGACGACGACGACGACGACGACGACCGACGACGACGACGACGACGACGACGACGACAACGACGACGACGACGACGACGACGACGACGACGAACGACGACGGACGACACCGACGACGACGAACGAGCGACGACGACGAACGACGAACGACGACGACGACGACACGACGACGACGACGACGACGACGACGACGACGACGACGACAACGGACGACGACGACGACGACGACGACGACGACAACTACCGCCACCCTCACGACGGCGGTGACGACGACTACCACCACCCCTACGACGACTATTGCCACCCCCCACCACCACCGCCACAACCAACACTACCACCATCACCTCCACAACGACTACCGCTGCCACCATCATCGACGACGATGACTGCTGCTACTGAATTTTGTGCAATTAGTTTAAGTTCTGAAATTGTTTTATTGTACAGATTTTGGCTTAAAATATATATCGTTGCCTGTAAATGTGTAAATGAATTAATGATATTGTTCAATATACTTTTGGAAGAGTAACATAATTTCTTTTTGATGTTTATGTAGGCTTCAGTGATTGATTTTACTCTTTCACGGATAACATATGATGGTTGTTGCATATACAATAATCTTGCTGAAGATCCTACTCTTTTTGAAGGAGAAGGCGATTATCAGTTTGACATTTATCGCATGATGCGAGACAAAACTGAGTAAGTACAATTTTCAACATATTTTGTGATTTCGATGCCAAAGTTAGTTGGCAAGGGGAAAAAAGTATGTTCAACAAATTTTGTGAAGTAGCATAAAATGGAAATGTCAAATGTTTTTGCTTTCAGAAACAACTGGCAGGTGTTTCAGCCCTACAATAATGTCTTGTGGCTGAGTTATGTTCTTGAAAAATTAGTTACAGAAGTATATTATCGTAATGAGAAAACAAAAATCCATAAAAGAGGAATTGGAAAATTGAAAGAAATGAGAAGTCGCATATTGGACTTTAAAAGTGCAACAGAAGTTGCACTATCATTTTCATAGGATTAAAATCTATTGAAAAAATATATCTTGTTATACTTCTACAATAATTTGTGATTGAAAATGAGTATAAAATGTAAGAAATTTTTAATGTATCGTTATAATTCGTGTTTTTCTAAAGAATAGTTTGATCAATTCTATTTTATTTGTTTTGTAATAAATAATAAACACTTTTTTAAACTTGTGTACTCTTTTCCTCTTCCCTCCTTACTGTTTATGAAAACCGTGAACACAATCCTTTACTTTGGTCAGGGTTTTTTTTTAATATAGAAAAGACAAACTTGAGTTCAAAATTAGTTACAAAAGGAAGCAAGAAAAAAAGTTTTGAAAGAGTTATGAAAGTGAAGTTTTAGAAGATCCCAAATTCCAATTTTTGTGCGTTTTACAAATAGTAATTCAAATATTTGAACATAAACGTTATTTCACGTGGGTGTGTATACAATAGATGGCCAAATTATAAGGGAATATTTGTGTAATTTTTAGTTTAAATCGCTTTTTGAGCAGAGTATTTGGTTTCAATAAGATATGTAATATTTCTGTTATCATTACTATTGTTTTAATCCAGATATTGCCACTGTTCTTTTAAAAGGACACGTAATTGCTAAGCGTTTAAGAGTTATTTTCAGTGTTGGATGATTACATTGAAAGATTACAACTAATGTTTAGAATACAGCATGAGGTCTGATGTATCCTTCTGCCAAAATTGCAGTTCAAATAGTTTTTGAAATAAGTCTTGCATCTTACTACGTTCAAAACTATCTTACTTTGCATCTACTGACCTCCAACAAAAGCGAGTTTTATATAATTTAATTTTCTCAGAAAATGCAGAGAGAACTCTGAACAAAATTAGTCATCTATCTTTTAAATCCATTGTTGTTAGTGGAGATTTGAATATTGATTTTCTGAGCAAATCACACATAAATGAGCAGTCACTTAGTTTACTGCGTTCTTTTAATTTAGATATTACAGTGAATGTACCAACACGGAATACATTATCACAAAAAGCAATAGATCAAATGATAATTAACAAAACCACAACTAGATATGAAATAAAAACTACTAATCTAGATTACCATGACCACGATGCACAAATTATTAAATTACTAATAACATGAACACTGACACAAATTATACACTAATGTGCAGAGCATTCATTAAAGTTTACATTAAATTATTTACGGACTACTTGCTGAAGGAAACGGGACACAGTATATAACGCAACGTTTCATTGACACAAATGAAAAAATAATATATTTCATTTCAGTACAACGCAGGCTTTCATCTAAAAAAGTGAAAATTAAATGTTTTCCGAAAAATATACTTGGACCACACAAGGAATTAGAATAACGTGTAAACACAAACATACGCTTTAATTTTAGTAATTTCTAAATATCGTAACGTATCATCTGGTTTCCATGTCTACTACCGAGAATACAAAAGAATTTTACGGAATGTTCAGGCAAAAATAATGAAAAAGAATCAGAATATTGTGAACGCTTGTTACAAAGATCAAGCAATGTGGAATAACGTAAAAAATACGACCACATTATCTCGTTACTTAGTAGAAAATCTTTTTAAGGATAATGAAAGAGAAGCAAGTAATCCGGAAAAAGTAGCAAATCTCTTCAACCAACACTTTTCCAGAATTACGGCTGAAATCGCAAAGGAACTAAAACTGCCAAATTTAACATCTTTCCAAACATTCTGGACACGACGTTTATTTCCGAAACCTCCAACGAAATCCTGAGAATCAGAAATAGGATACTCTTTGCTGAGAATAGTCTGTAAACTAAAAATTAAATATTCATCTGGGTTAGGTGAATTTCCGGATTATTTATTGAAAACTTGTGTAAACACCCGATAACTCACATTTTCAATGCTTCTTTATGCACAGGAATATTTCCAGATATTTTCATAACAGCAAATATTAAGCCGCTTTAAAAAAAAAAAATGAACAAAACTTAAATTCAAAATATCCTACCAATTTCTCTGTAGCAACATGTTGCCAGGTTTCTTACAAATATTAGAGAGGCTTTTCTATACGCGAATGAAAAGTTTTCTCAGGAAAAACGAAGCGTTTTCACACTCACAACACGGGTTCAGATAAACAAAATCTTCGAAAACTGCCATTTTTTTCTTTTCTTAAAGATGTTGCTTAATCAATGGACCAAAATGAAGCACCCATTGGAATATTTTTAGATCTTTCGAAAGCTTTTGACGTTATTAACCATAACATCTTGCTATCAAAATTATCTTCATATGGAATTCATTGTATCGCCCTAGATTGGACAACCTCGTAACTTAAACATCTCAAAGAGTAGAAATACCGTACTGGCATGAAAGAACATTATTTACTTATCTTTCCAATTCCTTACCAATTGAATATGTTATCCCGCAAGGCTCGATCTTAGGCCCTATCCTCTTTCTGTTATACGTAAACGATAAGCCGTCGTCTATTAAAAACGGAAGAACGGTTCTGTTTGCCGATGACACGAATGTTCTTTGCAAATAAATAAATAGTACGATTTTAGAAGTTTCAAATTGGTATCGTAATCACAAATTAATAGTTAACGAAGGAAAAACTGTTTCAATGCATTTTTGGATTTCAAATCAGCAATCGCATGTTCCATTGACAATGATTAATATGCAAGTAGCTGATGTTCAGATAACAATTTCTAGGTCTCCCAATTCAAACCGCAAATGGAACGTACATATAACACAATTAAACACTAAATTAAGTTCATTATGTTACACATTCAAAATTCTTTCAAATTCTATCAGCCTTCGTGCAACTCTCGTTCTTTTGCAAATGTGCCTGAGATATGGCATACTATTCTGGGGAAACATCACATAGTATTGTAGCGTCACGGCTTGGCAGCAGCCGAGTGCAAGGTAGAGGGCTGGGGGATCTAAAGATAG